GCAACCGTTTAGCAAACTGCGTCACAGATATGATAAGGATAAAATCTGATAAATGGGCTTCATCTGAACGAACTGCGTCACAGATATGATAAGGATAAAGAAACAGAGTGAAGCCTGTTTTAAATGCAAGCTTGTCATTTGAACCCAGCCAGAGAGATGATTTACCTGAATGAAGTCAGGACAAGCGTACTTGGCGATCTTTTCAGACACCATGCTGTTCAGCTCCTTGGACAGATCCGCCTCCTGCATGTCTACGCCCTTCTTCAGGACCACGAAGGCGTAAACTCCTAACAAATCAGAATAGACAGGTATTTATATCCGTTTGTTTACTGCAAAAAAAAAAAACAAACTCAGTTTGCATTGAGAGAAATCAAAAGTTTTAAATTTATACCCTCAATTTAAAAAATTTGATCCGACAGTTGAATGTATTCTTGGTAATCTAAGACTTCCTGTTTGTCAATATCATTTGACAAAATGACCTTCAACATGGGAAATACAGGCGAACGTGCCATTTAATAAATCTTTGGATTATAAAATTAAAATATTGCTGAATAGTCCACATATTTCATTAGCTTTCACTAAGTGAGACACTTTGTATAGATTAATTACGCACAGACTTATGTTGGAAAGAATTTATTTCTGTTGGTTATCATTACAACTAAAGAAAACGTATAAAAAATTAAAATAGTGCTATTTTTAAAAACAGAAACGTGGGCTTAGCGAAAAGTAATTTTTAATCTGATAAACGGGCTCAATCTGAACGAATATTCTAACTTGCTGAATATGACGTGTACATGTGGAGGACACGTTAGTACTTGCCTTGACCCTTGATGCTATGAGAGTATCCAATGACTGCAGACTCAGCCACTGCACTACACTGATTCTGTCACAGACATAAAATACAAACCTCCTTTTATATTCAGTGATTTAATAAAGAGTGTCGGAATAAAAGGTGTTTTTTTTGGATGTTCACAGTAAATCGAAGTTAACTGGCTTCTGTTACAGGTTACCTAAATAATGTTTGTGTGCTTGAGTATATTTAAGGTGAACTCACCACTACGTCCTCTATCTCTGCTGTCCCGATCCTGTGGCCGCTGACGTTGATGACGTCATCCAGACGCCCTGTGATCTGGTAGTAGCCCTCCTGAGAACGATATGCTCCATCACCGGTGAAGAAGTACCCTATGGTTTGTTACAAATAGGGTTTTTATTTTCCATTTTTGATGTGGAAAAAAAAAAAAAGGCTGAAAACATGAGGTTGTTTGTTTCTGAACACAGTACCTGGATAAGGTTGGAAGTAGGTCTCTAGGAATCTCTGGTGGTTGTTGTGGATGGTTCTTGCCATGCCGGGCCACGGCTGAGCCATACACAGAGCTCCGGATGCGTTGTTGGAAGTCAGTAACTTTCCCTGCAATAACAAAAGACAACGAATCTGTTAACGCAAAAGAAAAAAACGCTGCAGTGAGTTGGAAAGAAGGAGGAAAAAGTTGTACTCTTAACAAATTTAACTGCAAATAATGTAAAAATCGGAGTTCATGGAGAGGTTGGGCTGCTAGTAACGCAACAGTAAGCAATGAGTGCTGAAGTTTTTTTTTTTTTTTTTTGGTTCATTTCCGCCGCGAAAGAGGAAGAAAGGTCAGCTGAAACGCGTCACTCCAACTGTCTGCACAATATGTGGGGCTGCAGGCGGCATATCAGTGTGACTGACGGCTGAGAGCAGGGTGGGTATCAAAAGTGACACAGCTGGTGGCGACTGTTTTATAATCCTTAATCTGACCTTCTCCCCCAGGCTGCTCCCACAGCCGCGCGGCATGTGAGGGGGGGGTAGGACACACACAGACGCACACGCTGCTAAGCGGTTCACCTCGGTGTCCATGAGCGCCGGCTTGATGCCAAAGAAGGGTCTCATGGCCATCCCAGGGACGATCTCTGCGTCTGGTTCCGACGGCTTTGGGGCGATGCAGATGCCACCTGTTTCTGAGGTCAAAACAAAAAGCAAATGATAAAGTAATCTCATCGAAACCTCGTCATAGTGTAACAACCGACATCAAAATAAAAAAACTAGTTTTATTCACTTTTACATTCCCAAACCTAAAGAAAATGACACGTGAATACAAAATTAGAGAATATAGTAAGCCAAAGTTTGACAAACTAATCACAGCATTATATACAACCTAATTTTTGTCAGTTGTAGCAAAGGTACTTTAAATACTACAATAATTATTATATTTATGGGGTTCCTCTGGGTTTAATGTTCGGGCCACTGTTATTTTTTATCATTCAAAGTTTCCTCTAATGCCCAAAGCAAGATTTAATGTTTGGGCCACTTTTAATTTAGTTATTCTCACTCTAAATCAAATCATTATTTAAATACTATTCTTTCTTTAAACATTATTTGGATCCATGAAACCTTAACAGGCATTCAAGCAATATTTTATATTTTAACTAGTTTAGCAATCTAATCTGTCAGACAAATTAACAATCACAGCTAATGTGTAATGAAACTATTGCAGTACTTTATATTTTGGTGTTCACATGAAAAATGTTAACAAAAGTCTGATCTATTTATCTCTTTTTTATTTTTTATTTATCACATTTGTGCCGTTCCACATACACTTTTACATTAAATCTTTATCAATACTGTTAATTACACTAAAAATACAAATTGAGAGTAGGCTGTGTATGCCGAATGTCACACGGGACTAAAGGCAAAACAAGGGACGGATGGAGCTGAGTAATGTTTTGTGAATCCCGGCATAAGGCTTCCTCATGACTCCAGATGCAGATTGTGGTATTAGCATCATACTAAGTAAATTAAACGCAATTAGAGCCTCCCAGGCCTCGTGGGCTCTGGTAATCCACCTAGTGGTGGCACCAGTGGAAGCGACAGCAGAGGGGGCTGCTCTAAAGTAGGACACAACAGATGATGCCACAATAGCATTAGACTTGTGCGTTGTTCTCGTTGACTGTAACTCTGAGACTGGTGCTCAAAACTGTTTCCCAGGAGTAAATTCATGTTTCACTACCTTTCTCCTATAGAGATTAAATGCTGACTGTAAATAAATCTTTGTTTTGTTTGTTTAAAGCTTGGAAACGAACAGAAACCCCCTCGACTGACTTCCACCTTAAACGATTTGCTGTTTGTTTGAGACGTCCGTGCCCTTTCACCCTTTCACCCTCTCACCTCCCCTGCCCTGGGTGATCCAACACTCGACTCGGATGCCAGCAGAGGATAAAAATCTAATTTTCCTCGACTAAACAGGCTACTTGCTGCCTGATCAACCAAATGTCATTTATGAATAATGCCACTTAGCCGTAATTGAAAACATTAGTTCGGAAAAAATACCATAACAACATAATCCTTTTTGCAGAAGTAGGGTATTTGGGTCATATCTGTGTCTCTGATTCTTAAGCTCATGATGCTCTAATGTTTAATTATCATCAGTAGTAAGAGGTTTTCTACCATTTGCATGGTAATTACCACGGGTGTGCGCCATTTGCTTATATTACTCGATCTGATTAGGGTGAAACACATAGTGTCAGATGGGTTCAGCAAAGTTGACTTTATTAGCAAAATCCGATGATTTACAGCATGCTGTCATTATAAGCTAATGTTGTGGAAGCATGGAGGCTGTTTTCTTGCGACATTAAAGTTGAAAACATATTCTAGAAGGTTTTCTTATGTGAGACCAAGTGGAATCCCTGTAGTGTGTTTACGTCACTTCCTTTTTACAGTACTATGAAACAGTGTTTGCTCCCTTACAGATTTCTTGTTTTGTTTTTTTTCTTGCTAATTCATGGTTTAGCAGTGATTAACCACACTTTGAGTTAAATTTCCTCAGCTACACCCAGACCCACTGATTGCAAGGCCTAGGAAAATAAGAAAGCACTTGTCTGACAGCATGAAGCAGGATCAAAAAGCAACACATCATGCCCTGATCTTAAGAAATTTAAGCACAGGTGAAAACCAAATTCGTCAGTCTTGATTTGTTGACTCAAGCGAGTCACAGCGACAGCACAAATGGAGACGATGTGGAATAGCGGTGAACCTTCCCAGCCGTGTGTAGCCTCCAAGTTATTCCGAGAACGCACAGAAAAAAGACTCATCCCAGAATGTCACAAAACAAGCTCACAATAAAAGAAACTGCCCTGCAGGCCTCACTTGCCTCAGGAAAAGTAAGTGTTCATGAATCAACAATAGAAAGAGGACAAAAGCCAAAACCTTTGCTGACCCAAACAAAGCACAGAAGAAGTTTGGAAGAACACATTTGCACAGCTGATTGCTATGACAGCCTGTGTGTTTACATGCACACACCACCACAGTCCCAACACGTTATGTAACAGTCCCCGTTTGGCGAACAAAGCTGACGGCTTTTCCCTTTAAGATGGACTGCTTCTGTGCAGACGTGGCCACTTTTGAGGAGGAGTTTGTGAGGCTAGCTTCTCCTCCAATAAGGAAGATGGTACTATTAGACTCCCAGTATCTGACATTAACACAGTTGTAGATTCCTCTGACATTTCCCTGACAAGACACTGTGCAAACCACAGATGCACACAAGCAGCAGACTGAAGTCAAGCTTAAAAATATACCACATGGTCCACTTGTTTGAGTTATGATCCCGACACAGCAAATAAAACTCTTCTCTGCTCAAACGCAAAAAGATACAAATCATTTTTTTTTTCTGTTTTATTAATGAAATAATAATATAGTTTTGTGAAATAGGATCCGACTCAGGTCTCTGTTTTTCTGAGATGACAGATCAGCCATCATGGCTGCTAATGAGATGAAGATCATTATGTCAAATAGCCTCAAACGCTTATTGACGATGTTTTAATTGTAGGTCAAACAAGCTGTGTGATATGAGGTTTTTTTTTTCTTTAAAGTTGGGTAACTTTCTACAAAATTTTAGATTACAGGATCTGTATCTTACCGGTTTGCCACCAGGTGTCCACTACAGGACAGCGTCCTTCCCCGACCACCCTGTTGTACCACTCCCACGCTTCTGTGTTGATCGGCTCACCCACTGCAGACACAAACACCATCAGTTATGTCTTTATACGGTGGTCCAAACTGCTTTTTAGTACTCGAATATATGGCTATGGAGTGCAATACAATGTCTTCAGAAAATATAACAGAATTTAATTGAATTACAAGAGAGCATTTTAGAACTATTTATCTCCACAGTTTCTGAAAATTCTTAATTTAAAAAAAAATAATTTAAGTATTGTCTTGATGCAAGAGCATGGCTACTAAATGGTTTGCTTGCAGGTACGGAAAGGGATGCGAGTAGTCCAAACAAGTTTTTTTGTTTTTATTTTTAATGAAACAATTAACATTATTAATATCCACTATCTGTGTCAGCGGCACTCTACCTGGCACAGCGTATATGTGAATATTTATTTATCACAAGTCATACTGTCATCAAAACTTTCACCTCCTTCATCGCATCTCACGTTTTTTTTCCAGACGTCACGCAGGATTAGTGCGGAGTCATTTTAATCTCATGTATTTGTAGATTTTCTCTGGATGTACAAAACAACTGCTTTGCTGACAAGAAGATAGACTTGGGGGGGGAAAATAATAATCGGTTCATAGGTTTTTAATAATTACAGGCTGATGATTAACAGTTGCAGGGTACTGAAGGAGAGCAAAAAAATCCAAAACGAAGCCAAAAAGCTTTTATCCACAACCCATAGTGACTCCAAGTTAGCAATAATATAAGTATAACTGTGTGGCTGATGCTAGAAAACTAGTAGTGTGCAGTAGAAACAGCGAAACCCTCCGAAGAAATGTGAAGGTGAACCTATGTTCCCTGCAGTTGTTTTGCGTTTGCCGTCATGCATTCTTGTCCAGTGCAACTCTGACTGTGAAAAACACCTAATTTTTTTTTGTTTTTACACATAAACACAGAAAACTGGAACAAAGGTGAAAGTCATTCAGGTCGAGGCTTCGTTTCTTTCTCGGCTCTCTGCCAACCCCAGTTTGGTTTTCAGTAAACCTCAACCCTGCATCAGCCTCTGTTTGTTCTTTCAGGGCAATTTGCAGCCTGACTGCTGAGGAAAGAAGGACGTCATGTGATTTTCCACTCTGTGCTTGACAGCAGTCATCGTGCTAAAAGTGTTGTAATAAATACACAATACATGTTGACTTTTTTGTTATTATTAACAGAGCAGTTGAATGCAAACAAAACAAATCCTGTTTGCATTTCAGAAGCTGAGAATCCGTGATGTTTCATAAATTAAACACATTTACTAAAGTGCAGGCAGATTTTTAAAAAATAAGACTTGCTACAGTCCAACCTAAAGAAGATGAAAGCTGGACAAAAAAAAAACAAAAAAAACAAAACAAAAGTCTTTTCCCGCTTTGGAGCAAAGTGTTTCACGTACCAGAGCCGAGTGTGGTGAGGGAAGAGCGGTCGTACTTCTTCACCCACTGGTCTCCGTATCTGATCAGGAGGCGGATTGCGGTGGGAGCTCCGTAGAACTGGTTGATCCTCAGCCTCTCCACCATGTCCCAGTATCTCCCTGTAAACCAGACAACATTTACATGTTATAGGATACAAATAATTCCACCAGCAGTGTTCTTCTTACACTTTATTTATTTTAAAATTACACACTTTTCTAACTTGGATGAGTGAGTGCAAAATATTACCCTTGAAGCTACTTGAATGGTATAAGTTCCACAAAATAATTCAGCAACGCAATGAGGTATTTGATATATTTATTAGAGTATATAGTAGCATTTCACTCAGGATTAACTTTTTGACTTGACAATTAAGGAGTGGTGGTGTGTCCCAAACTGAACGCATTGTTTTAAAGCAGTTTCTGAAATCTGGAACTTCAGTTTGTAAAAACAAGCTGCAGTATTAGTTCTTTGTTTTACATTTTAGACCCATTTTAAAGTCGCAGGACCAGTTTAACAGGTAGAAAACAGTAGTGAGATGTACTTTCAAAAGTCAAAAACCAAAATACTGGTGGTTTAAATGCTAAAATCAAGGTGAGGTGTGATCAAACACAGAAAAACCATATAATTTCTACTAAGATGATTTTTTTTTTCTTTTATTGATTAAATTCAGGACATTTAAATATCAAGTTTTAACTGTTAACCTGTTTTAGTAACAGTTTTGTTATCTACACACCGCACAGTTGTGGATCAATGCAGTACTAAGATAGCATCTGGGCCATCTCACTGCTTTCACTGCATCTGGTCAAACATAGATCACCTTTATTTGAAAATATAAAACTGTTGGTCTTTTTAAATAAAAAGTGCAGCATAGTAGATTAAAAGCATATGATTTGGGAACTTTTTATCTTTATTTTGCTTGTAAAGCCTCCAAAAATAGCCACACATATGCGCAAATACAGTTTAACCTGAATTTAAGGTCTGTTTGGCCTGCAAAGTTGTTTGCAGGCCAAACAGAGGTTAAAATTGCCATTTTTATTCATATTTAAGTGAGTGTGTAAGCCAATAGCTAGAATACTAATGGGTAAAACTAAGATTTGAGTAAGAAAATTATAGGTTAAGCATGTCAAATTAATAAGTCAAGGTGAAAACAACAATGTTTATTATGCTGTGTCCAACTTTTGTTCTTTAGAAAAAAAAAGGGAACAAAACTGGACAAAAAAAGTTTCCCAACTTCATTTCCTTTCTTCCAAAGCTAGCCAGATCTGGAAAGTGATCAACAGATTAGAATAGAAACAACGTTTTGTTGACCCGGAAAGGGGAAATTCAAAGTGGATCTCATAGTTTTACCAAACTTTTCAAGGCTGTGCAGAAACTCTGAACCAATTTTTAAACTTAAAACATTATTTTAGAATTCAAAACCTGGGTCGGGATACACCGGAGTGCTCTCAAACAGAACGGTGGTCCCTCCGTTGGCCAGGGGCCCGTACACCGTGTAACTGTGTCCAGTAATCCAGCCTATATCTGCCACACAGCCGAACACGTCCCCGTCGTGGTAGCCGAAGACGTACTGGACACGAACCGGAGGGAGGAGACACGTTAAGCGTCATGTCGTAGAGACGGGTCAGCAGTCTGTTTGTGTTTGTGGGATCGCTGCTCACCCTGTGTGTGAGAGCGGCATACAGCAGGTATCCAGCCTGTGTGTGGACCAGGCCTTTGGGCTTCCCCGTGCTGCCAGATGTGTACAACAGGAACAGGACGTCCTCGCTGTCCATGGCAGCCGGCTCACACACCACGTCCTCCTTCAGCATCTCCTGAGCAGAACAGTGAGGTCGCGACGGGGTCAGGATTGTGACCTTATCACAACAGTTCAGGAAGCAGTGCCTAGTTTTATCACATCAAAGTGAGCAGACGGGAGTTTGCTCAGCTGTTCCACGTTCGATTTTTTTTTTTTTTTTTTTCAGACAATTCCCTGAAAGCCTTTTCTAAAACACGACACCTTACTTTATGAACATCGTATCCTGAAAACACACAGTCAGCCAGTCAGGCTCTGACCTCCTCCAAGGCGAAGTCCCTGTCCGTCACCTCAACTCGTTTTTCAGTTCTCATGGCCACAAACACCTGCCGGACAGTTGGACAGCTCTGGACTGCTGCGTCCACCGTCCTCTTCAGCTCTGTGATCTTCCCGCCCCGGACGCCCTGGTTCACGGTGATGACGGTGCTGGACTGAGCTACAGACAACACAGGGAAGGAGAAGTAAAGAAACACCTGCACGAAAAAAAGGATTTATAAGTGTGGAGAAAGGAGAAAAAGCTGAATGAGCATGAAGACATCACATGTTTTTACACTCCAGTTTATAAAAATTGAAGTTTTTGGATTCGGAAACATACATTTCTTTCACTGAATAACAATTCAGTTAACAAACTAGCGTAATGTGATGAATGTCACCTCTGCTATCTAAACTAAGCTTTAGCACATCTCACACAACCCTTTTAAAACCCAGCCTAAGATGCCTGCTCCCCACCTGGCTGGGATTTCTGGAACAACTGAGGCAAATTGATGGGGTTGGAGATGATGCCCTGTTTTTGCGCCTCTTTTAGATGAGTTGGCAAGTAAGTGTGAAGTGGGAGGCTGCTTCATTGTCACTCTGCTGGTTCCGCTGGGTCTACTTTATTGACGGGAGCACAGATCATCACAGGGCTTGGCCAACTCAAGTGGGTCATTATGAATAACCAGAAGAGGCTTTAAATGGGGCCCGTCTCTGCAGCCATACCATAAAAACCCTAAAAAAAAGGCTTTTGTTAGACTCTCCTTTTATATCCTATCCAAACATCCCGAGAACTAATTTGCTGATTTTTATCTTTCAGCTGGGTTTTTATATGAAATTCTGCAGATCTTCATATTTTTTATGAAAGTAATGAATGTGTGCCTTTAACACAAGAGGTTCAAAATATGGTTTGTGTTGCATTTTTTTGTAAAAATGAGTCCACATTTTTTAGTTTATCTGGGCATAACTCTAACTACTGACCATGTCCACAGTATCACAGGCATGTATTCCTACATTCCTTTATAATCTGCATGCAGAAATGTTATAATCTAAACTGCTTTACACGATATGGAATTACAAAATAAGTTTGATCGTGGCTAACTACAACCCCACATCAAAGATGTAGTCGGAGAGTAAAAAAAGAAAAATTGACTTTGTAGGTGTGAATTCAAATATTTGCAAAACGTTTACGATTTTTTCACTTGTAAAAATGTTGAATGACTTAAAATATTGCTGTAGCGCAAAACAACGTACTGTTATTTTTACACATTGTAATGTTTGACTTTGGACTTCATATTGTTATTTAAAACTTCTAAAATATTGCTTTTAGCACTTATAAGGTTTGATCATTAATGAAACAAGAAACGGTCATAAGAAATCAAGGCATTTTTATAGAGTTCTAACATTCATTCACATTTATAGATGCATCTTCCTTTCATTTTTTATGGTGCAATGTCCCTCTGTTAGAGATAATAAAAGACTCAGTTTGAGCAGCAAGATGATCCCGACTCTGTTAGAAAATCGACTAAATCATGAAAAAAAAAAGACTACTTAAATGACAGTGAAGTACTCATGACTACAGGAAGCTAAAACAAAACTCATTTGATTATAGACAACCCTGAGATCAGCTGTTTGTTGTGTACAGTAAATCTAACCCAGCTCACCGTCTCTTATGCGCTCTGCCAGGGCTTCTGAACTGAAGCCTGCAAACACCACATTGTGAGCAGCACCTATCCGGGCACAGGCCAGCATGGACGCCACAGCCAGAGGGCAGGTGGGCATGTAGATGGTGACGCAGTCCCCCTTCTTTACGCCGTGCCGCCTCAACAGGTTCCCCAAGCGGCAAGTCATTTCCAGTAGCTCCCTTACAAAGATAAAGGTCAGTCACACATTGATTTTATTTAAACCGAAAAGAAAAGCTCGTGACCATGATGATTCCAACATCCTCACCTGTATGTGTACCTGACCTCTGACCCCCGCTCATCCCTCTCCCAGATCAGGGCCACCCTCTCTGGACAGGTGTGCACATGGCGGTCCAAGCAGTTCACTGTACATGATGTGCACAACGTAAACAAAGCAGCGTTAACCACGTGATGCGTTCAGGGCGCACATTGTTATCAGTTTGTCATCTTGTAAAACTGCAAAAACAGGGGTCGACACGCTTTCGACGTGTCTCGCTTTTCAGCGAAAAAGTGAAAATAATCTCACCGGAGACGTTCAGCTTTCCGCCCTCGAACCACTTAATCCTCCCTTGGCTCAGATCGCAGTCCTGCACAGCTTCGAAAGGTCGGATCCAGTTCAGCCTCTGGCGGGCCACGGCGGCCCAGAAGTTCTCGCTGTGGGAGACCGAGTAGTCGTGCAGAGCGTCGCGGCCAGAAACGCCCTCGAAGCCCGCAGACTCCGGCATGAAGGCCGCCGAGTTCCAGCTGCTCCTGCCGCGGCGCAAAGCATGAAGAGAAGATGCCGAGACGCCACGTCTGATGGAGGCAGCCACATACTTCGTAGTGCATCTGCAAGGAAGCCACATAGTGTTGCTGAAATCAGTCCGAGCTGTGCAAAGAAAGCGTGCAAATCATTTCCGCAAAAGGAGAACAGTTTTATGATGAAAGGTTGGAAATGTTGCGCTTGCTGTTTTTGCGCTGGAAATCTTGGAAAGTCCTGAGAGGAAGGGCTTGATGAGTTAAAGGGCGGTCACTAAGAAGGGAAAAAAAGAAAAAGAAGAAAAAAAAGCAATCTGCCGACACATTGTTCCTTCTTAGAAAAATTCTAAACTGTGTACAAAATGCAATGAATGTTGTGCTCCTTTCACATTAAATTACTCGTCAAATTAATATTAAAACATTTCAAAGATGATCACA